AGATTTGGGGGTTCAGGGTTCAGGGTTTAGGGTTTAGGGGTTTAGGGTTCAAGTTTGAGGGTTCAGGGCTGAGGGTCGGTTAATGTAGAACTCTAGTGCCTAGGATCCTTCATACCCCTACACAGGCCCTCTAAACCCTCAACCCCAAAACCCCTAAGCCCTAAACACCAAACCTGAATGAAGCTGAATAGCTGGATCCTTATGATGGCACTAAGGCAGGGGATCCTTACTATAAGGACCCCTAAAATGGGGACCCGAAAACCTTCTGATAACGGCCCAACATGAAGTACCCTAAACCCCCAAACCCCTAAACCCCTAAACTCCCTAAAGCCCCTAAACCCCCTAAGCCCCTAAACCCCTAAACCCCCTAAAGCCCCATTTCCTGAAACCCCTAAAGCCCCAGTTCCTGAAACCTCCCCCGGGCAGGTCGGGCCATGGAGGCTGAAGGGTTTATAGGATCTCGGGCTCATGGCTTGGGGCAGTTTAGGGGGTTTAGGGTTTAGGGCTTAGAGGGTTTAGGGTTTAGGGTTTAGGGTTTCGGGTATGGGGTTTACAGGTATATGGTATTGGGTAGAGGGCTTCAGTTTCGGGCTTAGGGTTTGGGGTATTCGGGTATATGGCTTTGGGTAGAGGGCTTCAGTTTCGGGTTTAGGGTATAGGTGGAGGGTGTAGGCTTTATATAGGGGCCTTAATAATTAGACGAGGGTTTTGGGGCCCATTATACAATAAATATACTAAGGAACCCCCAAAATAGTATTGAAAGGATTGCTGCCACTCTGTCAAGACGTCCATGGGGTCAGCGGAGCCCGGCAAGCAACAAGCGCAGACTCGCAAAGAATCTTTCGATTACAGATAAGCGCCCAGAGTTGTGTCTCGAGCAACTGCAAACGGGGAGTTTCAAGAAGACTGAACTGGTTGTATAGAAGCTCGGACGAGTAGGCCGAGCCTGCAACACTCTCCTGAGGGCTCGCAGGAGCCTCTGGAGACATCCGACAGCCGTACGGCGTGTTGCACAGCCGACAACACCAGCTCTAGCACCTCAGGGCCTGCTAGGACTGCTAGGATGCACTGTAGCGGAAGCCCAGACGAA